TATCACAATCAAGTTTTATTTTAATCTGGCCAACATTATCTTTTTTGCTCCTCGATACTCAATCTAGTGATAACCAATTAATTATTCTCGAGATTATGCAAAAACTAATTGAGCTCAAATTAAAGAATATAAATGATCAGGATGCTCCATCTCCATTAGTTGGTGTGGCGATTTTACCCTTATTCCAAGTGATTTCTGATGTGGAAAAGAGTGCTACAAGGAATATTGCTATGGAAATACTTTTGATGGTTCAAAAATTTCAAACAATACAATACACGCCCTTGGAATTTAATGAGGTAATGTTTAACTAAGCTATAAAATGCTACAAATTATAGTACTACAATGTAATATCTCTAATCTATATTATATAGCAGGTATCCATTCTGCTCAAGTCACCATGTATCACTGGAACAATAACATTAATATTATCCGAAATAAATTGTCTTTTGAATTCTTATTCTTCACCCTCCTCATATGAATTTAAAAATTCTGATTCTTATTTTTCTACACTATTTTATATACCTTATTTATTTCATCACGATGTTGCCACAAGAATTTTAGCTTTAAATTATTTGATTTCAATAATTAATAATGATTTTGCTTTGATTCAAACACAAAAATTTCCTATTTTTCTGTTGTTTCTTTATGTTTTACGTAATGATGGTGACACTTTGGTTCACCTTCATATTTTACACCATGCCTTACCTTCATTGATTTCAACTACAGATCCAACTATTACTGCAAAAATTTTGAAAATTACTATGGGTCTTGTTCAAGGACAGGAAATAAAAAAAGAAACAAATTTAAACGCAGTTGGTATCAGAATGTTATATAAACTCTGGTCGAGGCAAAGAAGATGTTGGAAACAATTACGATTCATATTATCAGAATGGACAAAGAAGAGAAAATTAGACACCTCTGCATATGATGATACTAAATGTGAAAGATTTGAAATTGAGTTGGCAGCTTTATTGACTATTAGGTATGATTTTCAATCCCTTTTAAATATTTATTCTTGTAGCAAGGTTTTAAAGTAAAAATTTTTTAGAGACATTTGTAAATCCAAAGGGAGAGATTATGCCGAAGAATTGCTTCCTTTCATATCAAGTTTACTTCAATCTGTAATCTTACATCCAAAGAGCTTATATTTGGTCATAGAAGCACTAAATGCTTGTGTAGAGGCCAAAGTAGTAGAAACCAGAGCAGGTAATTTTACCTAAATTAAGAATTATTTCTACTCAATATTCTAATTACTTCATGATGTCCTAATTACTACTTGTATGTCACGTATTATTCTTTATATAGTTTGGATCGTATTAATGTCTTATATTGCTGATGCCATTACGCAAGCTAATCCTTTAAATATAAATTTAATCTCGAAATTATGCGAGTTTTACAAGTTAGTTGTACAGCATGACGATGGTAACTTTATAGATATATTTCTTTATATTATTTCTCCTTATTTATTTATTAAAAAAAATTAATATGCTTTTTTATTATTTAGACACTATCGTTTACAATGAATTCAAGCAGAATATATTAGAATCAAACTTGTGTCCACTCATATTTCCTCAAAAACCTCTTTATACTTCAGAGCCAGATCAAGAAGTTCTTGTTGATGATTCTATAGTGTTTAAAATTCAACAAAATTATCGGATCCTTAAACATGGTCTTATTGCCATTTCACAATTTAATGCAACTGATATTTTGTCAGTCTTTCCTGTATCATCCGAAACATTGCTATCTCAAATTTTTAATTCAAATGAGAGATCTTGGAATTTGAGCCAAGTTGAAGAATGGCAATTTGTATTAAGCAAGATTATTTCCCAAGAAGTTTATAATATGAGGCGGAATCTATTAAGGGGCGTCTCTGTTGAAGCTAGCAGTGGTGGTAAATCGGCCACTTCGACATCTGACAATACCAGTGTCTTTCAAAGTAGAAAGGAAAAAGTTGAATCTATTGCTACAAAAATTGTGAATGAATGGGAAATAGGTTTAGTCAGCCCGGGTTTACGAGCTGGATATGCATTGGCCTCATTGATCTGGTTTAATCCACAAATGGATAATTCTAATAAATCAAGATCACAAACTTTGAATGAAATAAAAGATCTCAAAACAACAAGATTTTATAAGCTGATGGCAAATGCTATTCAAGATATTAATCTAACTGATCATTGGGTAATAAGATTAGGCATTGTAACGAATTGGTGCAATTTTTTTGAAAAAGGATTGCGAGAATTGTTATATACTACTTCAGAAAGTGAAGAGGAAGCCATAAAAGTTTTGATAGAAGATTTAATGAAGCGACTAGATGATGCAAGGTTCCCTTATGCTTGTCAAAATATAATTCTAGCTCTTACAGGTATTATTCTATATCTGCTTTAGAAATAAAAAGTCCAACTCTGATGCAATCCGTACTTAATTTATTAAAATGTATTATTAGGATTATGTCTCTCACTCAAATCGTTAAATGTATCATCAACTCAACAATATGCTACAACAACGTTACGTCACTTTTTGGACTATTATTTTGTTGACGCAAATTTGGCTGTCAAACGTCAATATGAGCATCAACATCAAGATTCAAGCCTTATCACTAGCGATGACGTTCAATTTGCCGTCGCAATGGCTTTAGGATATTTATCCACATTAACAATTATGAATGAAAAATTGGTACAGGAAGTGGTCGATACTTTAGTCACAAAGTTAAGTGAAGATAAAACGTAAGCAACACAATCTTTTTTCCCACTTGTGGTTTAAAAAGCGTACAATTAACTTATACAATAAAAATTCTTAAAGTTCTACAACAGGATGGGCTTTATTTGGTGCAGGATATTCACTTGGAACACTTTTATCATATCTTGCTTCATTTCCAATGAAAACGTCTTTAATGTCAAATATTTGTTCACAAACGGTGTCATTTCTTTATGATTTCATTTCAAGTACATCTTTAGATAATTTAGGGGCAACTAATTCATACTTGGGTGTTATGATTGGATTGTCAAATATTGATTGTGATGATGAACCTGAAACCGAACGAATATATCAGATGGCGTTATCCGATTTAAAGAAATTTGTCGAGAATAATGGAAAAGTTGATGAAAATATTAAAAGTAGGATTGCTGGATCCGCATGGTTTGTCAGTTTTTCAAGAGGTAAAGGTCTTAATGAAGAAATTATAGAGATTTTAGAAAAAGCAACAAAAATTTCAGGCGCTAGAGTAAGTCTAAATATTTTTTTATATATATATATATATTTATTTATTTATTTATTAATTTACATTATTGTTAATTTATACTCTTATTATTTTTATTTAGAGAGAGATGTCCGAATATCATTTTCATTTTTCTCAATCTTATTCACATGTTTTACAAGATATTCTCCAAGTCAAACAATCATCGCATAACTTGTCATCATTTAATGCAAATATAAATTCATGCACTCACACGCTTACAACAGCTGGTACAAGTTCATCAAAACGGCATACTGCTTTAATAACAATAGGATCACTTGCAGGTGTTGACTACTTTTCGCTTCCATATCATGCAAGAAATAGAAATTTTTATTTCTTTTCATCAGCATCTTCTGCTATTGTTACGCAAGTTTTGAATACATTACAGAATGTTGCCGAACTTGGATCACAAGCTTCATCTTCAGAAATGACTATGAGTGATGTTAAAGGTGGAAGATTAGCTGTAATTATTTTGGGACAATTAATGCAGGTTATTGAAAGAATATCTGAAGATACTGCAATGCTTGTTGGTGATTCTGCAAGGTCTATTACAAGTAGTACTGAGCCTAAAGACTATTCCAGATTACCTTCTTCGAGTTATTTGAAATCTATGTTTGATCGGCTCGTATGGATTTCATTAGGTAAAAAATAATTTTTTTTTTCTGATTTTATAATATTTTCATATATATTATTATTGACTTTTATTCACCTGCCATTGTTACTGTCACTTTATAATAATATTAGAGAGTCCACCACCTGATTCGTCTATTGAAGCGGCGAGTTTGATAATTTCTACATTCTCTAAAATAAGCACTATACTTCCACCAGTAAACTGGTTTCCTCTTTTTGTCCGATTCAATGAACCTGCTTTTATGAAATTTAATTTAAGATATCAAATCGTTACAATGGCAATACAACATTGTTCTCGTTCTGTATCATTAATGGAATTCCTTGTACACATATTAATTGAATTCCCAATTATAAATTCAGATAGTAATGTCGATATAAAATTTAAAACTTTTCTTATTTGTGAAGGACTTGGAAAAATTCTTGAATTATGTGGATTTGAAAAAATTACTCAAACAATTAAAGAAACTGATGACAAACAATCTACTCAAATGCGAGGAGTGGAAAGTATTGCAAAAAAAGTAGTAGTACCAAATTCTCGAGTAATAGATATTGTCGATAAAATGACATCTTGTTTATTTGGCAATTCAATTAATCCCGAAAATGAGGTATACCTTACTAGGAAAAAAATTGGTTTATAATTATAATTGTTTACTATGTTAACTGTTTATTTTAATATTAATTATTTAATGTTTAGGAATTACAAGCTATTTTTCTT